CGTGTTCCGTGCCACCGCCGCAGCTGCGTGCCAAGCTTGTCCGTCCTCGGTAGCTGGCCGACTTTTCTGCATCACTTCTCGTGCACACACGGCCCTTGGGGTGAGTTTTACTTCCCAGTGTCGCATGTCGGGTCCCGCGGGTGTCAGGGGGCTGCTGGCCGACCCAGAGGGAACATCCAGGCCCATGGGACTCTCGCCCAGGCCCGCCCTTCCCACGACCGTGCCCCACCTGCCCAGGTGGCCCCCATTTCTGATTCAGAGTTTGATGTGGAGTTAGTAATCTTTTCTCGTCACTTTGAGTCAGGGTGGTTAAATTTACAGCTGGCTGACTGCTTCCCTAAGGATGAGCGTGTGACGATATTGATTTTAGCGACATGAGTCATACGCTGCTTGGCTGGGAACAGAGGCTCCATCCCTACAAGCCGCCAGTGGCCGCCAGTCTCCGGGTGGACACCGAGAGCTCAGGAGAGGGGAGGTCACAGGCAGCTTGCAGGCAGGCGCGGGGGTGCCGAGAGCTGGGTGCCGGCGACAGGTGCGGCCTCCGTCCCGGGCGGCTGGCAGGCCCTGGACATGTGTGGGCTCTGCTGAGCTTCCCCTTTCTGAGACGGGTCATTCGTGGCGACCACAGCCGGCTGTGGCGGCACCTGGGCAGGCCCCAGGCAGGCCCAGAGGCAGGCGCTGAACAGGTCTTACGTGGTTGGCTTCCTTATAACAAGATCAGTGAGTCAGTGTTAGTGGGTTCAATGTTCCAAAACTCAGTTTCCTATAAGCAGCGTACAGTGAATCCGAGAACTTTCTATGACCAACATGTAAGCCAGCGAGAGTCTCGGGGTTGAAGGTTGCACAGCCTTGGCCGCGTGGTGCGAGCGGCATGGCTGGAGGAGGAGGGGCCAGAGCAGCAGCTTGGTGGGCGATGGGGTGCAGGGACCTTCGCCTGCAGCGGGGTGGCATTCGCGGCCCGGACAGTTTCCGACAAATGCTTCCCAGCCCTCGTCCGTGTCTGTTTAACAGAACCGGCTGGCCCGCGGCGCTGGGCTCTTGCAGCCTCACCAAGAAGAGCTCTGAGTGGCTGACCTCCCAGGGCTTCCGCTGGTCAGAGCTCACATCCCTTGGCTTCAGCTTTCAGTGTGATGAGGGATGAATCCAGTCATTTTGGGTTTAATTTTCTTCAGACGGTGACGGGCCCCTTTTGTCGTTTGCTGGGTGGCTGCCTCGAGGACGCTGCAGGTCCCCGTGGCGTGGAGCCCCCCTGAGAGCCTCGTGTTCGTGAGGGCGCAGCACGCAACGCAGGGACCCGCCCGAGGCGCCTGCACAGGACGGGCGGTGGCCTGTCTCCAGGGCTCTCAGCTCTGCTGACCGCCTGCTGCCGAGAACACACAGGCGAGGGCGGCCCGGCCCGGCCGGGGCCTCCTGACCACGCAGAACTCCCCCTAGTCTTTCCCATGAGGCTTCTGGAAGCTTAGGAAGAAAGTTCTAAAATCTCATAGTGTCGGGTCCTTGTACTCCTTAATAAGGAATGTGTAGGGTGGTAAAGGCTGGCTTGTTGTAAGTGGAAGCAGGAAAAAGACACAAACTCCAGTTTGTCTTCTAACCGGGAGACGTCAGCGCTTAAAAGTCATGGATTCTGTCTCTTCAGGGGCTAGAAGAAGAAGAATATATTCAGAAGTATTTTTTTAACAGAAAGTTCAGTCATCTTTTAGCGACTCGGCTTTCACCGCTCCGCCCATCGTTTCTCCCCACTGTTGGCGCTGCCACAGCCGCGGCGGATCCGCTGCCATTTCTGCACTAAGCTTATGTTATGTGCTCCGGTCCAAGAAACAGAGAAGTTCTTCTCCAGGCAGATACAGTGTGTTTTTCCTTTTGGACTTAAGGGGTGGCAGTGAGTTCCAGACAAGCAAGAAGTCGGCAGCAGGCACGGTTGTCTCCATCAGGAGAAAAGACGTGGCCCACTGGGACCTTCTCGGCCATGGGGGCCTGCAGCGGTGCCTGTGAGCTCCTATTGCGTCCAGGGGATGTGACGAGGGCTTCTGCCCTCAGCCCCCAGCCGGGACCCCCACCCCTGGGCCGGAGCTGGCATCCTGAGACCAGTGCTGCAGTGGGGTAGACCCACCCTGGATGGCGCACAGTGCTGCTCTGGGTCGCGATGGGTGCGTGAAGGCCACAGGGGCCAGCCATCTGTGGCAGTCCCCTGGGGATGGGCACTTACTCACCAGGTGTGTCATAGCTGGTTCCTGACCACCCCTTGGGTTCCAGATGAGTTTCAGAGAAGGAAAAGACGAATAAGCTTGAGGAACCCCAGGCTTCTGATTAGGTAAATCCCTGAGAATGGTGCTTCTCTGCTAGCCCGGGGCAGGGACACGGCACCCAGCCCGCCTCAAGTCTGCTTGCTGCCCGGTGCCTTTCTTCTAGAAGAATTCTTTATGTTTAGAAAACGTTACTACAACATTAGTGTCACTTGAAGTCACTTCTCGTTGGCGAAGCTCCTCCGAGGGTCGGCCTGTGTCAGCCCCGTGCAGCGCTCTTGCAATTCAGAAACGAGTTTCGGGCGCCGTCCGCCTTGTTGCAGCCGAGGTTTCTGGTCCCCGTTTTAGGTGGCGTTTCGACTCCCCACGGGCTGAGCACCCTAGTTGCCCTGACCGCTGTCCTCCAGTTGGGCGGCGAGGCTGTGGTTCGTAACCCCCTCCCCAGTGTGGGTGACAGCACGTGCCTTGGCCAGCTCCCGACGACACTGCGATGACACAGGGTGGCCGTGAGTGCCCTCCTGCACCGTGTGTGAGTGCGGACCTCACAGTTAAAGGGCTTGTTGAGCTTGAAGAAGTACAGAGTCTTCAGTCTACGGCTACACCACCCCGAACGCGCCCGATCTCGTCTGATCTTGGAAGCTAAGCAGGGTTGGGCCTGGTTAGTACTTGGATGGGAGAAGTACAGAGTTTTCACTTGTAAAAGGTCAAGTGTTTCCAGAATTTTCTCTGATGAGAAGTGTCTGCCAGTCGTGGGCCCCTTGAAGATGCTCGGAAGAAGTCAGCGCACTCAGTCCTTCATCAGGCGAAGTGAGGCTGGAACGAGGCAAGGGCAGCTGCTTCTGGGGAGAGAGCGTTACGGAAGCAGATGTTTCTGATTGTTCCCATCATTCTGTGACTTTTGAAACCAGACGTGACGTACCTGTGTCCCCCGTGACGGCTCTGACATCTGCACCCCGAACTGGGGACCCCGTTCCTCTGATCTGCTTTACCCTGCTCGCTGTGACGATGCCGGTGAGTTTTGAGGGGGGCTGGCGGGAACCTGAGCACCCCGCCCTCCTCAGGCACCGTGCTCGGGGCAGGGCTCTTCGTGCCGCACGGTCACACATCGCCGCTGCCCAGGGTGGGCAGCTCCCTCTCTGTGGCGCGGCCAGACTGCCATGGACAGACTGACACTGCGACTGGGCTACTTTCAAGTCACTGAGTCAGAAAAGTTCCTGCCCTTGAAAAGAAAATGGAAGCACAGTCGGCCCTGTTGCTCTTGTTAAAAATGCAGTATTAGAGCTCAAGTTTCAGACAACTTTGTTATACTCTCAGGACACGGTATGTGGGCGTGTTTTTAAATAACAGTTATCTTCTCCTCGTCTCACCCTCTAAAATGCCCGGCATTTGGCAGACACCCACACACACTGGCACCGCGCACCGTGCGGCCCCGCCCGTGCCGACGCGGGAGCGGGGCTCTCGCTGACCAGCCGTGCCACCGGGCAGCCCGGAGACTGCGGGTCTGGGCCCTGGCAAGTGTGGCCAGTGGCTTTCATGCCTGCCTGGGTGGTTTGGTGGAACAGGTCACTAGTGGGGGCGGAGCTCACAGCAGGGCAGCCTTCAGAAAGTGTCTCCTGTGGGGTGTGAGCAAAGGCGCTGCCGGGTCTGTGAGAGGAAGTGATGCGGCGGGAGACCCTGGTGTCCTCAGCCTCCGGTTTCTTGCGTCCCCACTTGCCCTCCGCCTCAGTCCAGCTGGGGCTGTTTCCAGGGCCAGCAGCCATGAAGGGGGGTGTCCCTCCTCGGCCAGGGAGCCCCCGTGGGCACCTCTGCAGGAAGCCGCCTTCACACTCCTGGTTGGCGTGGTGTGCAGTGATACCACGCCTGGTGGCCTGGGCCCTGGGGACGCGTGTAGAGGTGGCCCTCAGACTTGGCGGTGAGGATGGCTTCTGTTGCAAGCCCGGCTTCTCACTGCACTTTTAGGAGCTGGAATCTGCCACGTGAGAGCAACAGGGACAGCCAGCGCTGTGGTGTGAAGTGGACAGAGCGGCGCCGGCCCTGAGCCCTGCAGACTGGCGCTGGGCCCGTCAGATGGCCCGGCATGCCTCGCCTGCGTGTTCGTGGGGGCACGGGGACACCCGCACGACGCATGTGTGGGCTCCAGGGCAGCTTCAGGACGGACATGCGAGGGTGAGGGTCGCCCGAGTCCTGGACAACCTGAGAGGCTCTGGTGCCCTGCCTCCCTGGGTGTCGCGGATATGGGCTGCGTGCTGGTCACTCGAGGGTCCTGCCACCCCCACTGCCCAGCTCGGTGCCAAACCGTCACGGGCGAGGACAGGGTGTGATGCCAAGGGGGCGGATCCTAAGCAGAGTCCCCTCGAACACCCTGCTTTTTCTCGGGCCCGTAGACCCCCAGGTGAAGACTCTCCCGCGTGAGCAGGTTTGGAGATGCCCCTCTGTCTCCCCAGGGCTGCTGCTTCTCTGTTGAAGGTGGGCCTGGGGTGGTCTAAAGGAGTCGGTAAACATCGGTGTTCCGGAGCACATTGCAGGTGGCACTCATGGACTCAGCCGCCCGTCACCCCTGGGGAGGGGTCAGGGAGTGAGGGGCGGCAGCAGAGTGTGGCCAGGGTTCCTGTGGCCGCTCTGCTGTTTCCGGAAGGTCTCCCGTGGCCTCCCGGAGCCCCGGCGGGCCGCGCTGGCCCATAACTCCAGGCCGGGTGGATCTGTAAGGTATTTACGTTGTGATCTGAGTATCTTCTCTCTGCTCTTCCTGTGTCGCAGGGGGCCGGACGTTCAGTGGGCAAAGTGACTTCCGAGTCACCGCCTTGAAGTTTCATCCGAAGGACCACAACCTTTTTGTGTGCGGGGGCTTCAGCCCTGAGGTCAAGGCCTGGGACATCAGAGCCGGCAAGGTAAGCCCACCTGCCGTGGGGCCTTCTGCGGAGAGCTCGCCCCCATGAGCGGCAGGGTCAGCAGGTCGGCCTCTGCCCGCGGGGCTTCGGGTGGAAGAGGTGCCACTCAGCAGTCCGTGCTCAGCGTAATGTTTAGCCGTTTTGAAAACAGTTTGGAGTTGTTAAGATGAGGAAAGCACCGCAGGTGCGATTCTGTACAGCATGTTACCAGCGATGTTTATTGAGCACCTACTGTGTGCAGGTGTTTCCAGAGACTGTGAAATGAACCTACTTGGGGTGACCCAAGGGAACTAAGTGTGGACACGGGTAACAGGTGCAGAGAAGTGCTCTGTGTGTGCATGCGAGTGTGAGTGTGAGCTGGAGGGAGGGGGGGCTGGGCCAGCATTCGGGGGCAGGGGCAAGTCTTCTTGGGCGAGACCGTGCTCTTCCAGGGCCCTGCAGGCTCGTCCCCGTCAGCCCCACAGAAGAGGGAGCCCCACCCTGCCCTTCATACAGCCAGCGTAACGGGTGGCAGCTTCGGCCCTGCTCTTCCTGTCACCCTCTGCCCCAGCCCAGCAGGAGGCCCTGCCCTAAGTCCAGCTGGAGTGGCTATGCCTCCTGGCCGGTGTGACTGCAGCAGCTTCCCATCTGGGCCTCTGTCCCCCTTTGCAAACTCCTGCGGTCCGTTCTCAATGGCAGACGGAGGCGGAGCAGGTGGTTACAGGGAGAGTCAGGGCCCCCAAACCCGCACACTCGGGGGAAAAGCAGTGTCCCTGCAGGGCCCCAGGCCTCCTTGCTCTCTTCCGCTGCCCCTCCCCTCCTGCCCCATGGGCCCCCTCGCCTTTCCTAGAAGACCCTAGCGCATCCCACCCCAGGACTTCCGCACTTGCCCTGCCTGCCTGGAACATTTGCCTCCCAGTGTTTTACCAGTGGCTCATGCGCCACCCACTGCACAGGGTTCTGCTCAGAGGCCCCCTTCTGTCTGCTGAGAGGACACCCCTGGCCACCATGCCACCAAAGATGACCTGGCATTCAGTTGTCTCCTTTGCCCCCTCTCTTTTTCCATGGCATTTATCACCTGGCGTACTGTGGATTTTACATGTCCGTGTGTGTCTCCCTCCACTGGAACGTAAGATCTTCCTGGGCAGGGATTCTTGTTGGTTTTGCGTGTTGCCGACTTCAGCTGCCAGAACAGGCTGGCCGAGCGGACGAGGGGGAGGCGGGGAGGTGGGGAGGTGCCGAGAGTGCAGTACAGGGGCGGCCGTGTGACGTGAGGGCAGGCCCCGGTGGGAGGACGTCCGTGCCATGTGCCTTGGTTTGGATCGGCAAGGGGAACCCTCCAAGCGAGGAGGGGGTGCTGGGATAGCGCTGAGGAGGGGTTCACCGCGGGGCGCTGAGGAAGAGCCTTACCCACTCGGGGGCTTGATGGGGTTCGGGAGGCTTGTTTTCTAGTTCAGAGAGGCACTGCCCTGGTCCGAAGGAGGCACCCAGCCCTTCAAGTTCTGCAGGGTGGTTCACGATAAAACTCGGGCTGAACTTGACTTTGAAAGAAGAAGGTACAGAATGTCAGGGGCTATCCTCCGGTCAGGACTCAGTGTCCCAGCCTGAAGGGCTCCGGCCTGCTGCATCTGCACAGAAGGTTCTGCCCAGGGCTGCCCCCTACAAGGGCGGCCCCCCAGCAGGCCTGCCCTGAGGGGAGGCTGGTCCAGTGGCCAGAGGGGCGCGGAGACCAGACAGCACTCCCTGGGCCAGGTTGGCACTGCCCACAGGCCTCTGCAGATGCAAGGGTGTGGGGCTTGGGGACGCAACCTGAGGCAGGCGTTGCTGTGCCGGGAAGGCAGGCACGTTGCCAAGTGTCTCTCCAGCTATTGATGTAGGTGGAGGCATCTGTGCGAGAATCTGACTCCGCCCCCACAACACCCCCACCCCCACCGGGGCACAGGGCCTCTGGCCAGACTCAGGGGACAGCTCCTTCTGGCCCAGTTGTTACCTCTGGCAGATGTAGTGAGCGCCTCAGGTGGATGGAGCAGGACAGGAGAAGGAAGGGCCGGCACTGGCCCCTGCCCCCCCCACCCTTGCCCCCTGGCAGCTCCAGGCTGAGCCTGCTGGGTGCTGTCCCGGGTGCTGAACGCCGCACCTCTTGGTCCAGTGCAGGAATAGCTGCCGGCCCCATGCTTGGCTTTTCGGATCGTAGTCAGGGAGATTGTAGTCAGGGTTGACTGGAAACTAATCTCAGGTGGAAGCAGGCGAGTCACAGACCTCAGGTCAAAAATCAAGACCCACTTTCCCTCTTAAATACAACAAAAGGCCTGTTCTGTCGTAAAAGTAACGCACGATCTTATTTTTAAAAAAAGAGAAAAGAGAGGGACAGGAGAGAAGCGTTGGTGGAGCCAGCCAAAGGCAAACTTAGCAACTTTCGGCAGCTTCCATTCCTTCTTCTTGCCCCTTGCATGTGGGTTTTTTTGAAAAAATATTCTTTGCTCTTATTTTCATTTATAATGTTGTACTTTGCTTTTCTCGGAGCACTGTTAAGGTTTTCCTAGTTACCGCAGACTCCTCTGTGGGTCTCGGGACATCCCCCCGGAGCAGTGTGCTGGGCTGGCGGGCCCTCTGGCTCGTGGCCGGCACTCACTGCTGTGGGCACTTGGACACTGTGGGTCGAGCGAGTCGGTCCCAGGGCCCCTGGGTTGGACATTTGGGACGCCCGTCTCACCATTTAACAGTGATAGATGGGAGGACAGAGGGCAGGGGGTCGGCAAACAGCAGCCTGGGGCTAAATCTGGCCAACTGCCTGTTTTTATAAGTAAAGTTTCATTGGAACACACTGACATTTATTTATATGTCACCATGGCCATGTTCACACTACAGTGACAGAAGTGAGTCCGACAACAGAGACCACATGGCCTGCAAAGCCAAAAATGTCTCTGACCTCGGTAGATCTGGCTGTGACATCGTCACCCTGTTGGTTGTTGGTGCGAATTGCGTACCCACCCAGGACGCCGTCCAAATGCTACCCCGCTATGACCCAGTGGTTGAACTTGGGACACAAGCTTAAAGAAAGAGACTGTGATGTGGGAGCACCCCACAGGCAAACACGGGTCTTGCGTGTGAGAGGGCGTGTGAGAGCAAGGGCAGGGAGCGGTGTTTCCCGTGGCGAGAGGAGGACGCCTGAGACACCGCCGGCAGGACAGCCGGTCTCCGGAGACACATTGTCTGGGCACACGCTCTGGACAGGGGCACACGGCCAGGGTCTCCAAGAGTCGAGGCTGAGGAGTTGCTGGAATGTCCGACTTTTACGCTACTTTCCAGTCTTGCCATCTTATGATTCCTTAAGCGTAGCCAAGCGATGGATGTTGGGGTCCCGGACTCCTCCAGGGCAGCCCAACTCGTTCCCGCAGGGGGCGCTTGGCCCCCTTTCTTCTCTCTGGGCCAGTTTCTGCCCCTCAGGCCCCGCGTTCCTGCGGAGCGCTGGACTTCACCTCCAGCAGGTGCTCACCCGAGCTGGCTCAGTGCAGCCCCGACCAGAGCCCCTGACCTTCTCCCTCGAACTCGCGTGTGTGCTGGCACCCGGGTGTCTGTGTCTGAGCTTTATGTCACTGTGGGGGGTTCTCTCCCGCAGCCCAACTGGCCTGCGGGGCTGCTGGCCTGGGCTCTGGGAGAAAACCTGGGCGCACAGTCCCCTGCTGCCACTGGCTGTGGAGGTGTGAACGTGGCGGGGGCGAGCCAGCCCCCAGGGCCCCCCCCCACTGTGGAAAATGCCAGACGCCATTGCTTTAACATTCACTGAGATGACTGTGTAGTTGGGTAGGAAATGGGTCAAATTTGTAGAAAAACAACAGGCTTAAAAACCACCCTTTTTGTAAGACTAAGTTGGGGAACCCCAGCCTCAACAAGCACCCCGCAGTTGAGCAGGACCAAGCCCTGGAAATCAGAGCAGCGGTGGAAAATCCAGGACACGTGGCCCTGGGCTGGGAGCTCGGCCTCTGCCCAGTCCCCGCTCCCTGCTGGGGGCGGCTGGCCAGGGGTCTTCCCATGCTCGGCTCCCCTCCCTCCGGGGAAGAGAGTGGCAGGTGCACACAGCCCCGGTGACCTCCAGAACCTGGCCCCATGGCTCGGGGATAAAGTCTCAGGACCAAATCTGCTCTGACAGGCCAGCTCCCTTTTGACCCCTGTTGGTTTGGCAGGAATCTCAGTACTTCCTGCTTCTCCAACATCTTTCCCTCCCTCCCTCCCTCCCATCTTCACTCCCAGATCTTGAGTTGGTGTCTTTCTTGACCTCCTCTTGGATCATGTGCTGGCCCCTCCCCAGGTGTGTGTCCTGCGGTGCAGGTGGTGGTGGGGAGGTGGCTGGCTGGGTGCCCTCATCCAGCGCCTGTCCTCACACCCCTGGAGGTGGCATCCGAGCAGGGTGTGCAGGCCGAGGCCTGGGCTTTCCCTCCGTTTGCTGCTGCATCTCCTGGGCCTACGGTGGGGGCGGGGCTGTTGCGGGAATGTCTGCCAGCCCCAGTCAAGAGTGATTTTTAAGATTCCGAGCGATGGACATGCCCAGGTGAAGCAGAACAAGTCACCACGTACGAGGGGGCCCGACAGCTGGAATCCCCTGGAGGGCAGGCCCCTTGTAGTACAGGCTTTCCCCACTGGGCGAGTGTTTAAGGAACCCATTGGTGTCAGTGCACCAGCTGGCGTTGCTGTGAGAGGCTGCGTTCGGCTTCAGTGAGTTTTTTTTTTAAAGACTCTTTCAGTGCATTTGCCCATTTCCTGACGAGTGATCTACCAGCGCATCTGCCCACACTGCACTGAGTGGTCAGCGGTTCTTGACTGAAAATGGCATGATTCTTCCCCCTGTGCCCCCCCAGTCACCCAACCTCACCCTGAGTGACTTGTTTTTGTTCCCCTGGATGAAAAACGTCCTCACAGGGAGACGTTTTGCTGATGTGGAAGAGGGGGAATGAAAAACAGCAGAAGCACTAAAAGACATCAAAATTGATGAAGCTCCAAACTGTTGTGAGCAGTGGGAAAAA